ACGGACGACGACGGACGACGACGACAGACGACGACGGACAATCACTCATATGATAAGCTCCGCTCGACAAAGTCGACAGCGGAGCTAAAAAAGCACAAATGTTTTAATTTTTATAGAACGCATACACGACTGCTAAAAGTCACACATCCTGTAAGTTCTGGGGTATAGCTGGCCTATAACTGTAATGTTTCCCAACGGTAATATCCAACAAGGATGTGAGACATTTAAAGGTCATGCATAAATCCTATTCTACTGAGAAACTCACAAGTTGAACAGGGTTCACCATAATAAACAGCAGAGCATGGCACCAATCCAGACAATCATATCAGTGCTTGTTTTAATAGCGCGAAATATCGTAATATTGTAACTATCTGGGTCAGGGTGCAAGTGTGAATGCAACCATTACAGATCAGGAGTCTACCTACATCAACAGGATGAAGTCATTGACACTTAAGAAAATAATTATACAATATTCCCAGGTAGCACATTTTTAACTATCGGCAATAATATGTAGGACGTGATCAGAGTAGGCAAGGAGTTCAATAATGTGAAATTGACGTCATAACACGCACACAAAATGAAGTGATTAGTCTTCCTCACCACTTAATGCGGTCGTTATTTATTACGCTTTGAAATATCAAAGTTCTTGAAGCTAACCTTTGAAAACTGCTCCGATTTACTGATAGGGTTTTGCCACGTCTTGGGTATACTGTTAACAATGCGCGTGTGAAATATTCACATTCGTCTTCATAAACGCCAGATTTTTAAATTTTTAAACTAGACAATGCAATTTGTTGAAGGCTACACCTGCTATAAAATGCCCATGTCAATCAAACTAAGTCATGTGGTCTCCCAGAAACCACAAATGTCAACCATATTGTCGAAAAAGACATTACATACCTACAATGTAATACTTTAAACGACAGTAATCAGAATGTGAAAGAACAATTAAAACAGACTAAGCTCGTTTTTTTTTTTTATTATCCATTATGTAATTTCACACAATACCCTGATAGATTACACGAAAGATTTATACGCAGTACATATGCGCTTGTATTATCAGGGCTCACTGACGCCCTAATACAGATTAAATAGATTTCCAAACTGAATACCTTTATTCCCTTTCTAACAATCAAAAAACAATACCTCTACAATTACTATACATTTATGATTTTTCTTTTAAATTAAATTAGTATTTTAACAATTCAGCCAAATTCATATTTATCCTACTGAGATATTAATAAATATGCAAAGCATCATGGGAAACAACTTCTAAAATATATTAATAACAAGTCATTGTCAATGACACGTCCCCGTTCCGTTCATATTTGAGTGACATATACATTCAAAGCAGATCATGACCGAAATGCACCTGCATATGTACAACACATTGTGCTAAATCTGAACAAAATCCA